TGGATCCTCTGCAGTGAATGGGTGCCGTCAGAAGGAGAGTCCAAAGCATCACAATAATTCAGAAGTAATCCACATGACTCCAGTCCATTAATTAATGTCTTGTGAAGTGAAAAACAGTGAATCAAAAACAATCAATAATCTAAACGCAGCTAATTTTCATTTTGGGGTGAACTATTCCTTTAAAATAATTACATTTATGAAGTCAACTCAACAATGCTTTGGAAAGAGATACAACCACAATAAAAAATACTCACACTTGATATTTCTGTCACTCTTGTAGAAAAAGAAGCAAGAAAACAAAGACCCTGAGACTGTGACAGAGATGTACGGGGAAAGAGAGGGGGAAGAACAGGGGGAGAGAGAAGATGAAGTCTATCTTGAGAACAAAGAAAGGATTATTGAAGAGGAAAAGACAACTGAGGCACAGTGGGACATGGAGGAAGAGGATGGTGTGACTGAGACCAAGGAATACAGTTCAGGTGATGGTGACGAGGAGACTGGCAGCGAGGAGATAGAGGAAGAATTTGAGCTAGAGAGGGAGAGAGAGAGACAGGAGATGGAAAAAGAAAGGATGGAACTGGAACAAGAAAGAGAAGAAGAACTGGAAAGGGAGAGAGAGCTCGAGAGAGAGACAGAGATGGAGCAAGAAGAAAAGGAGGAGAGAGAGAGACAGTTACAAAGACAAAGAATGGAATGGGAGAGACAAAGAGAGAAGATGGAGAGAGAGAGGAAGGGAGAGACAGACCGAGAAGAAGACATGGGGCCCCGTATTTCCCACTGTGATTACCTTAAAGTAAGTATGAGATTTAAAGTCTATAGGTTTCCAAATATTCAACATATCCACAATATATAAATGTTATCTATAATAATTGATTAATTATTATAGTAATAATTATTATATTATATTATCATTCCATTTTTATTTCCATATGATGGTAAGTCACCGATTTTTATTCTAGACTTTTTAGACTATTTTGATTGAACCATAGGAGAACCTTCTTTAATTATGATATACACATATAAAAACCTATTCCATGCTTATTTTCATTTTCTATTACATTTTTAATCCCAGATTTTCAGTGCAGTCTTATTATGTATATCTGTAAATAAATTGTGCTTTGTATGTGCATTTTTCCTTTCTTGTACAGGGACCTCCAGGTGAAAATGGAAAACCAGGCCCTAAGGTTCGGCAATCTTTTTCATTATATGTCGGAACGATCTGTTCTTACTAATAAAGCATGATAGTCCCATCCTGAGCAATGTTCTCGTCAGCTCTTATTAGTGTCTGAGCTCTGTGTGTTCCCAAACCAAAGTCTGTTAGATAATCATTCCTGCTTTCTGATGGGACTGCAGCTCGCCCACACATACGACATCCCCGCCTCCTCATTCACAATGTTAGGGAATTATTACTGTCAATCAAACCGGGTGGGATTTCAGCAGTGCTCTTCCGCTTGCTTTGATGCCCCAGAGCTTTATTTTTACTCCTCCGTTCCTGAAATGGATTCAATGTCTTTATTAATATTGTAGTGCT